CAGGGGCTGCTTCAGAACTGAATGTTGTGCCCCCGTGTCTACCAGGAAGTCAACGGGGGTCCCCCCCCATAGATATAGTTACCCTAGGGTCGGGGAGGGAATCTGAGCCCCGTCTTCCCTAGTCTTCATCTAGGGTGAGAAATTTTGACGGCTTATTCTTTTTCTTGGGACACTCTTTAGCTCAGTGTCCCTTGTCTTTGCAGTATGCACACTGGTCTTTGTCCAACTTCAGTTTCTTTTCATATTGCTTCGATCCTTTAGTGCCCAGGTGCCCTGTCTGTCTAGACCCTGCTTTATCTCTTTCTTTTTCACTCACTACTGCAGCCAAGATTTTTGTCAAATTCCTCTCTTGACGGCAGTCTTGCCAGTCCTCACGTTCCTCTCTTTCTTTCTTTTCTCTCTCTGCCTTCTCTTCCTCTCTCTCCCTCTTGTGGTACACTTTCTCAGCTTCTTTCATTACATCCCTCTATGTAAAATCTTGTAACCCCTCTATGCACTGTAATTTTTTCCTGATGTCTGGAGCAGACTGCCCAATGAAGGCCATAACTACTGCTGCTTTCTGTCCCTCTGACGTGGGGTCAAAGGGAGTGTATCTCCTATAGGCATCCATTAGTCTTTCTAGGAACACAGAGAGGGGGTTCGGTAGGTCCTTGAAGGACTTCTCTTACCTTAGCCAAATTAGTGGGGCATCACGCAGCCCCTCTGAGACCCGCTACAAGAGCCCGGCGGTAAGCGGATAGCTGCTCCCTACCTTCAGCAGTGTTATAATCCCAGTTGGGGCGAACGAGAGGAAATCCTGCATCCATGGCAGCAGGAGTCTGGACTGGTTGTCCTGCAGCATCTCGGACGTTTTTCCTGGCTTCCATCTGAATTCTCTCTCGCTCCTCAGTAGTGAAGAAGTTGCTGGCAATCATCCCAGGTGGGCTGGTGAGAGAACATGAGGGACTCAATTAGTCCAATAAGCCCTGTGGGGTTATCTGAAAAGGAAGGATGGTTAGTCTTCCAATTATAGAGGTCAGCAGAGGAAAATGGCCAGTACTGGAGGGGTTGGAGTTGTCCTGGCTCTGGGGGCCCTCCGTGTGCTCGTAAGGGGAGAGCCACAGTGGAATCTGGGCTCTCCAGACCCCTCCGACTGTGAGTCCTCCATGCTGGTCCCTGGGGGGGCACTCACAGGGATGGGGGGACCGGGATCAACCTGGCCCTGATATGGGGGGAGGATTGTGGCGCATCTCAGGCCACTCAGGTGGATTTTCAATTTCAGGATAAATTTTGGGTGGTGCCGATGGTGCAGCTTCTGGGGCCAGAGGAACTCTGGATTCAGAAGTTCGGGTTTTTAGGGCTAATGCGCACAGAGGGGTGGTATGTTTCTTCAAAACCCAAGGTTTTACCCACGGCAGTGGATTCTGCACTAAATCCTGCCACACGATGATGTATGGCTGTTGGTCAGGATGCGCGTTTGGTCCTTCCTGGAAAACAAGATCTTTAACCACCAAAATGATTGTTAAGTCAAATGCTCCCTCTGGTGGCCAACCGACTCCCAGAGCGGGCCACTCAGAGTTACAGAAGGTTTGCCAAGGTCCTTTTTTAATGTTAACAGAGAGATTATTAGCCCTGGTTCTTACTTCAGAAAAATGTCCTAAAGTCAGGGAAAGGGGTGTCATCATATTCAGTCCCATATTAGTCGCCCACAGAACACAGCAGACACTCACAAGAAATACAAGACACACAAGAAGCTCTCTTCGTGACAACCAATTGAAAGCTGCTTCAGACGGGAGAGCCCTCTGGGCCCCTCCTCTCCGGCGGGACACTCTAAGTCCCTCAGATGGATCAGAGACTATTAAAGTCTCTGGATCCGTATTCCACCCAAAGGGACGTCTCCCTCTTGGGATGTGACTCGTGGTTTTTTCAAGCACGTTTGCTCGCCACAGTCACAAACTGAAAGTAAGCTGAAAATAAAACAGACTTACGAACACACAGGTTTGGCGGCACCGCACAGACAAAGAAACAAAGAAATTTTAGAGGATCCTCTTACCTCCAAGTGGTTGACTGGCGGGTTGTGGGGGTGACGGCTCAATCCCGGATGAGAGAGCCCCCAAATGAAAGACCCCAAACTAGGGCTTTACCCAGACCGGGCACGACCCTGAGCAACTCACACCAGAGCCACTCACTGCAATCACAAGACGCTTTATTGACGAAGCTTCGGGATGACTTGTACCTCACACAGGAGACAGGGAAGTCGACCCCGAGCCCCAAAAAGCAAGGGAATTTATACTAGGTCTAGGGGTTCTTTGGCGTGGAATTAGCTCATTGGCTCTTTGGAAAAGGAGAAGTTCAATTTTAGGTCAGT